TGGCGCAGATCTACATCAGCGCCCTCGCCGAGCTGCTGCACGGGCCCCCCGCGCCCCCCGAGCCGCCCGCCAAAGCCGAGCTCCGCGGGGCCCCCTTCGAGCCGCCCGCGCCGCCCCCTCCTCCGCCGCCCCGTGCCTCGCCCCCCGCGCCCGCCAGGACTCGCTTCTCCCCGGCGGCGGCCGCGGGCGGTTTCGCGGCGCAACTCGAGCCGCTGCGCTTCCCCTCTTTCCCTGCGCAAAAAGCGCCTTCTCCCGCTCTGCTCCTGGGGCCGCCCGCGCCGCAGCAGCCCGAGAGGAGCAAAGCGTCGCCGCGCTCTCACCGCAGCGACGGGGAGTTCTCGCCGCGCTCCCACTACAGTGACTCGGACGAGGCCAGCTAGGGGGCTGCGGGGCCGCGCCTCCCACCTGCCCGCTGCCTCCGGGGCCGCGTCGTTACGCCGCCGCGCAGTCGCTCCTTTCAGAGTTTCCGTTGCCCAGAAGTCGCTGCCGTCCCTTCCTGCCAACGCGGGGCGAGCATCGCCGCGACGTCCGCCCCGTGCCGTCCCCGCAGAACGCACCCCGCAGACGGCGCTCCCTGCGAGAGCGCGGCGCAGAGCACTTTATCAGCGGCGGAAGCGGAGGCGCGGAAGGGAGCCGCCGACTGCCAAGAGAAGCCCCGCGCCGCGGTGGGCGCCGATCCGGAGAAACGCGAACTCTTCGCTCGTGTCAAACTTTTATGTTCGTTTTATTTCGCTTTTGTGGTAATAGGAAACTTATTTATTACGGAGTGTTTGCTACTATTTCTGCTTTCTGGTTGTTTTTTGTTGTCTTTTTTTTTTTTAAACAAAACTTTTCTACGACGAAAATCGTTTATTTGAATTTTAGCCCAGCCAATTGCCACTGGTTTATGTATTTTTTTTTTTTTTCCGAGATCAAATAAAGATGGAAAATTAAAAAGGCGAAGCGAAGCTGCCGTTCCCCCTTCTCCCCGCACACTCCGTGCCAGGACGTGGCCCCGTCCTCATAGCACGCGGAGCACCCCGCCTTCCCCCCCCTCCCCACGCCGAAATGGGCAGCGAGTGCAGCCCGCCGCAGGTAGTCCCGCCAGTGGGGCCGGGCCGGGCAGAGCGGGCGCTGCCCGAGTCGTGCACCTGTCCCGCGGTAACCAGCAATCGCTCGGCCCTCGGCACAGAGCGGCCGCACGGGGCCGGGGCGGTCCCACAGGGTGAAGAGTTCAGCGGGACAGTTTCCCCCCCCCTTCTCCCTTCCCAAAGCGCTGGAGGAGGAAGCACCTTTCGTTGCCGGGGCCGTGTCTTGCCGGTGGGAGGGGGGTGGAGGGGAGAGGAATGCGGCGAGGAGGAACTGGAAACCCAATTACTCAGTTTAATTTTTTTGGAGAGGTGGGGGACCAGAGCTTTATTTTATTTTATTTTATTTCATGGTGTTGGTTTATTTGTTTCCTCTCTCTCTCCTTTCGTTTCGTACTCTCTCGTTGTGTTTTCCTCCCCACGAACCGGCGGCGATACTTCTGCCGGCACGATGCGGCCGGGCCGCGCAATTGGAGCGCAACCATCGCGCATCCGCCCTCCGCCCTCCCGGCACCGGGGTTCCCCCCCGACAGCGGAGCGCACCAGATCCTCAGCTCTCGTTGTCTGAGGTTGGTTTTTTGTTTTTTTTTCTTTCTTTCTTTCTTTTCTTTTCTTTTCTTTTCTTTTTTTTTTTCTTTTTTTTTTTTTTTTTTTTTTTCTTTTTTTTCCTAACACATCTCTGAAAGAGATGCGGAGCGCATTTCCATGTTGAGGTTCAGCCCCGGAGTTTGCATAACAACCGCTTGGCAGCCCCCTCCCACTCCCCCCGTTAACAAGCTGGAACGTAGAGCTGCAGGTTGCTCTAATCTCATTAATATTTTGGAAAGTTGAATATTGAGCGTTTCGGAGCGCTCATTCCCCATATGCCGGGCCGCTCCCGCTATGCTGGCTGCTTCCTTTCTCTCCATTATTAGCAATTAGCTCCTACCTTCCAAAGTGGGATCCAAGTATCCAAGATACTAGCAAAGGCATCAACTCTGCCGTGCAAGCTAAGCACGCTCCCAAACAAACAAAGAGACAACATTTCTTTAAGTAATGAAGATGGATAAATCGCTTTATTGAGCTCGCGACAGTGTTTGTTTTGCACGGACGAGCGCAAAGTTTGCGAAGTGGAGAGCGCGCACTTCGCTGCTGCTTTGCTTTGTGCCATTTTTATCACTTTTTGAGGCATTTCCTTAATGCGAGTGCGTTCGGTTTTGATCAAATACTCCTTTTTCTTCGAGGTGCGGTTCTCCGGCTACTGTTTGCCCAACCTCTAGCCCCGGGGATAGAAAGAAGGAAGGAACAGGGGAGAAAGGGTTAACACCGGCGCTTCTTAATTGGAGCGGGGCGGACAATGTGGCGGGGCGGCCCGGGGGGGGGCTGGCCGCGCTCCCGGCCGCGGTGCGCCGTGTCTGGAGCGGAGCACGCGCTGTCAGCTGGTGAGCGCGGCGCGGCGGCCTTTCAGGCGGCGCCCCGGGGAGCTGCGGCCCGCGGGGAGCTCCGCCGTGGCCCCCCCCCCCCCCCCCCGTCCCGGCAGCCTGCGCTCGGGTCTTCCCCCGGCCCCCTCCTCGCCTCGCCCGATGAGCGACCGGCCGTCGAAGAGGGATACAAAAGGGAAAAAGCATCGCCTGCTTGCGCGGGGGGGTCTCGTGTGTGTGTGCTCCCGTGGTTCCTCTCTAGCCCCGTGCACGCGTGGGGCGCCGGAGGAGCTCTCGAGGGACTCTCGGCTCTCTCATCTGCTGCAAAGCGATGCGATAGGACCGCCGTTCCCCTGCAGGAATGTCACCCGCGGGGGCCGCGCAGAGCCCCCACGACCCCTCCCCGCCGAGGGCAACCCCCCGCTGGCTCGTCTCCGAGGAAAGCAGAGAGCCCCTTCCGAAGGGCTATCGGGTGGCAGAGGGCCGCCTTTGGGAGAGCGGCCAGGACGTGTCAACACGGCGAAGCGTTTCCTCGCTGCCCCCGGTGCCTTTGTGCCGTGCGCTCCATCCCGCCCGTCTCGGGATGGGAACACGGGAGACCTTCACACCGGGCTGCAGCCGCTAGGAGCTGTGCCCCCTGCGCCAGGCAGGGAAACCGAGATCTGGGTCTAGGAGAGCGACATTCGGGGCTGGGAAAACGAGTTTTGGGGCTGGCACAGCAAATCGCACTCACAACGGTCCAATTTCCCATTCATCCAAACTTCCTTCTTTATCGTTTGCTGTATTTGTGCTTAATCGCTGTAATCCCCGTGTTCTCTCGCCCGCCCTGGTGCGCGCTCCCGCGCACAAGCCGGGATAGCGACGCGCACCCGAGCGGTGCTGCCGCTTTTTATGGAGCGGTTAATCAACTGCGCATCAGCGAGACAGCGCATCAGCCCATCTGCTTGATATATATTCAGGAGGGCTCCAGCCCTTTTGAAGTCTAATTTCTTCCCCGGGAGAACGCGCCGGGTAATTTACCATCATTTCATACGCATCGCGGCCACCGAATTAACCCTTTCCCCATACGCTGCCCGCACTGGATTTTCCTCCTGAAAACCTCCGGGTTCAATGCTACAAACTTGTCCGAGTGTCTCTTCGATGATGCTCATTGAAATAAAGAGACCTCGGCCCACCGGCATCGTAACCCCTTGGATTTGTTAGATTAGAAGGGAGGGGATGTTAAAGATCTGCTTGGGATAAGCAAACGCTTAGAACCGCCCATGCCAATGCGCATCATTTCATCCTCAACCAGCTACTGCTGGCTTTATTTTTAAGATCTTTGGGATATTTATTTATTCATTTATTTATTTGTTTGTTTATTTATTGCAGGACCCAGCCCCAGTGTGAGCAGGCACTCCTTTTCTGTTATCTGCAATAAATGCCATCTCCTGCAACAGCTTTTTTGTGGGTTTTTTTTTTTTTTTTTTTTTTTTTGTTCTTTTTTTCCGAAGTCTGTTTATAAAAGGAGGGACACGAGGGGGGGCTTGTGTTTCCATGCCACACAAACACTGCCTTGAGAGAAGGCTCCATGTGTGGGTTTAGGCTGCCCCAGGGGTAAGGATGAAGCTGGAACTCCGGAAACCAGGGATCCCTGTCAGGAGTGGACACCGGGCTCTTTTGTGCTGCATTTTAAAAAGGCAAAGGAAAGTGGGCCAAATGCTTCCATACAATTGGATTTCTTTGGATTTAAGGTCCCTTCGAGCCTAAGCAATTCCCTGATGTCAATTCCTGTAATAGAAGTTTCTCTTTTATTATTTGTATCCCACCCATTTGCATGCTCCTTTTTGTTTTTCCCTTCATTTTCCTCTGGCTGGTACTAATGCTGAACTAAGTCCCAGTGTGTTAAGGATGGTCCATCAAAATGCTGGCTGTGGGCTGACAGCTGGGATGACTTGTTGGATCACTTCCACACCTATGTGCTTAACCCTAGAGCAGTTGTACAGCTGAGAGCTTGCCCAGATTGTCGGCCAGCATCCCTTGTCAGGAGTGCTGCTCCAGTTCTCAGATCCCTGTGTCCTGTTTGTGGCAAGAGACATAGGACCTACCAGGGTTAGGTGACTTCTAATATCAGGGCAAGAGCACAGGTTGTGTGTCTTCTTATGCTTCTTGCACCATGCATTTTTTCCCCCGTCCCTTCGGAAGTATTTCCAGTGAGGAGAGTGTTCAACACTAGGGATGCTGCTTTCCTCCATTACAGATCTGGTTCATCTGGGCTCTGACTCTTGTTGGGGCCCTACTTCCTCCTGTCCTGAGAAGCAGGATGTAAAACAGATGCCTTACTCCAGCTTTAGTTTGTTGTTTGGAGTGGGCTGAGAGGGAGGAAAGAGCAGACGTTTCTGTTATAGGGCATAGTTGAGGAAGCCTTGGGAAGGTTGGCAGCTGCAGGGAGCTTCAGCAGACAAGTCATTCTCCCCACCTGTAGCTTGTTCCCTCCCCAGAGTCCATAAAGATCACTTGGAGGTGAGAAACCTTGAAATAGGCTGCACACAGTTTCTTTTGGATTTTTCTCCTTGATGTGGGTGTTGGCTGGAGGTTGCTTGTTGGAGAGAAGGAAAGTTGCATTCTGATGTGCAGAGGTATCCACAGGCCTTGATCATATTTCAGGTAGGAAGGATAGTTGTGGTTTTTTTTTTTCCTGAAGATACCAGTGCTGTAATGTTTGTAGTCAGACTAGAATAAATGCAGCTAGGCTTGTGCTGTTCTGTTGTATTGCTTACCAGACTTTTTTTTTTGAAAAAAAAAAAAAAAAAAAAAAAAAAAAAAAAAATTATGTAGCTCTTTTGTGTGATCACAACAGGTGTTCTGGATGAAATCAGTTACAATTTTATTACTCAGGGGAGCCAATTAACCCTATTCTTTTCTGCATTGTGAAGCATCCTAAAAGCTGTTTGTTTAAGAGGGATTGGGGGAAAAAAAAGTTTGGCTCTGTGAGAGTGGTAACTGAGACAGAAGGGCTTTGAATTGTCACTAGAGGTTTTGGAGTTTGCTTATTGGGAAAAGAGATGAATGCTCTGAAGTGTTGCTGGCTCTTATTCTGGGGTTAGCAAGAAACGAGATCATAGAATCGTAGAATCACTCAGGAAAAGACCTTAAAGGCCATTGAGTCCAACCGTGACCTAACCATGCTAAACATACTACCCTAATCACTTCATGTGAGTGTTGCTGCTGCCTGTGGCACAGTTGCAGGGGAAATGGCCCAAGCACTATTCATAGTTAAAGGAAAGATGGCTTTGGGTGCTCTTGTTACCTAATCCTGCAAAAGCTACCGGTGCCTCTGTATTGAGATAATCTGCTTTACCCATTTACCCATTTTTGCCTGGGCTCCTTTATGGTGCTGGAAACTCAGAGCTGTGTTTTTTAAGGGGGCTTTCACAACCTTGGCCTGCAGTTTTGGGTTGCTCTTGGAGATGGGATGTGATTCTTCTGTGGAGGTATTCCTGGGCCTGTAGTGCTTTGTGCATGGGAGTTCATGAAAAAAGCTCTAGAGCACAGCCTTTCCTGATGCTCACACAACCAGGCATCTTCCAGCATTGGAGAGCATGGTTGGGTATTCAGCTGTAGAAGTGTGTGCTGGAGGAGCAAACCTCAGTGTAAGACTGGCTGAACAGAAGTTTAAAATGTTGATTTCAGTTTTTTGTCACCATTCCAACCATGGGGGGAACTGATGTTTGGAAGGTAAACTTCTGTTTTTGGTTTCCTTTTGTTTTCCAATGAAAGCAGAGCAAACAGAGGAGCATAATCCTGGCCTTAGTGAAAGCAGTGTGTCAAATATTATAATATTGGAACAATATTATAATTTCATATGGTCATAAAAGCAGAGAGTAATAAAAGTTATTCCCTATAAAGGAAACAGGAAACGTGAAAGGTGAGCATCTCAATCCAGGCTTATGGCTCTTGAAACAACTCAGAGGTTTTTCTTTTGTTCTGTGGCAGTTTGTTGTATAGTAGATGAGGAAGAGTCAGCCTCTTCCTTCTTTCCATAAACACTTATGAAAAAGAAGAGATACTAATGGGTGTGTTTTGCAGTCACATATATTATACTCTGTGCACACCTAGAGAATGGTGTGGGGATGTGGCCCAAAGATTCCTGAAATACCTGGTGGTACAGGACCATGGTGCGTGCAGAAAATTGGCAGATTAAGCTGAATAAATCTATTCAAAGTCTGCAGCAAATACTGGAAACAAGTAGCTTGTGTCATCCTTTGACATAACTTTTTATTTATATAATAATAAAAGCAAACAACAGAAGAGAAAGGATTATCTAATCTGGAAGCTTTATTATGGAAGTATCAGTTTTGGTGGATCTCAATCAAATTAGAGAAACGTCAATGAAAAGTATCAAGTCAAGGTGTCTGGCTGAAAGGAAAAAAAAAAAAAAAATCCAGAGAGACAATTCTGAGCACTGCCGTGCTCCACCAAAAAATTTGGGGTGTTTACATATCGATCTCAGTTTGTATTTCCTGCAAATTGTTACTGATAAAGCAATCTGGTTCTGAAAGGCCTTTAAATGCCTTTTTCCCTATCTTCTTCCAGCTCATTTGTTTTATAATGCTATTGGCTTTCTGGTGAAGTTATTTGAGGTTTTTTTGTTTTGTTTTTAGATAATTGACACTGTCAGAAAAAGCTTTCATTGAAGCAAGAAACATTTAAAAAAGGAAAAAAAAAAAAAAAGGCTGTTACTTAGTATACTAATAATGGCAGCATTGGATACTTGCGTTGATTAATTTTATATGTTTTTCCAATTCTTCCTCTGAATTCAGTTTTGGATTTTGATCATACTGAATTGGCTTGAACCTAAGTGTTAACATCTGGTCTGTGGTGAGCTATTTTAAGGTATTAGCTCTACTTTTGGAGCTTTTTGGGGAAAAAAAATAGTGAACTGTAGTGTCATAGTCTTTGCTGTTTCAAATTTCCCTGTTGCATTGCATTATCTAGGGAAAAATAAGTAATAATGGCCTCACTGCTTCTAAAGTAGAGGGCTACAAAATTGCCAATAGGAAATTCCTGTGTTACGTGTGCTGCATACCTGATATGAAAACCTTGGAGCAGTTGCACTGCCTACTTTCACAGCATCAACGTGAAGGCCTCCAACATCAGCAGGATGAGTAGTTTGGCCGAAAGAAAGCGGGTTTAAGTACAAGGCTTTTGTACTCTGCCTGCGAGGACACAGTTAAGTGTAGAAAAAATAAGGTAGCCTTTGAAGTTGCCTAGAAGCTGCTGTCTTGATTAATTCAAAATTTTAGTTTTACACACCCTGCAATAAACTTTTATTTACGTTTTATTGCAACTGAACTTTATGTCTTTTGTGCTTACCTAATATTAGTGCCGTAACTGCTGAGGCAGGTGAATCAACAGAGGGAAGTCTAAACTGATTCAGAAATGGCCATAAAACCCCTTGAGTAGCGCTAATAAACTTGCCCGGGTTGCTCTCCTATTAGCTTTAATCCTGGCTTCCAGCACTGACTCTGGTGATGGAGCCATGGAAACTTTCCACAAAGGGTTATTTGATAAAGAGGATGCATGAAGGTCTGACGTGTGCTGGTCGAGTGGGTGGCAAGTGAGCAGGCTAACTCTGCGGTTCCTGGAGAGCTGCTGGATGACGCATGATTTTTTAATTATTATTTTATTTTATTTTTTTAAGCTTTTTTTTCCCCCCCCTCGGAATTGTTATATTGACTTTCCTGTCGCTGTGCGTGATGCGGGCGCTGTCCATGGTACCCCTCGGCTGGTGGGCGGCTCTGCTCTCGGCGGCCTTCCGTTCCTTGAGAGAAAAATTCGGCGTCTCTTTCCCTTTTCCGGGTCCTATGCTTCCTTTTTTTTTTTTTTTTTTTTTTTTTTTTTTTTTTTTTTTTTTAATAATAATTGTCTATAATCGCTGATTCCTTTTTCCCTTCCTGCTAGCACAAACTCCTACAAACAACCTTTTTTCAGCTTGTTCAACGCATTGTGTTTTTGATTTATGCAGCAGCTATAGCTGTAAGACCTGAGTAACAGGTGAAGCTGCTGTGGTTTAGCCTGCCAGGCAGCTTAATACTACACAGCCATTTGCTCACTCACCTCCACAGGCACAGGGAAGAGAAGTGGAGATAGTGGCACGGGGTAGGAATGAAAACTCATTAGTTGAGATAAGGGCAGTTTAATAGGAAGGAAAACTGTGGTAGAACAGACAAAACAAGTGTTGCACAATGCAGCTGTTCACTGTCAGCCTGTCTATGCTTAGCCAGTCCCCACGCAGCATCTGTCCCTCTGGCCAATACCTCCACTCTTATTTTTTAATGTGATGTGAAATATTATGGAACATTCCTTTGTCCAGTTTGTGTCAGCTGTCCTAATTCTATCCCCTCCCATTTCCTTGTGCATCCCCAGCCTCTTTGCTAGCAGAGCAGTGTGAGAAGCTGAAACATCCTTGGGTTCTGTGCAGCGGTGCTCAGCAACAACTAAAGCATTAACAATGCTTTTCCTGTACTAAATCCAAAACTAAGTACCATATCAGCTACCAGGAAGAAAGTTAACTCTATTTCAGCTGAATCCAGAATGGAAGCTTAGAAACTTGACTTATAATGCACAAGAAGGCACTTTTTTTTTTTTTTTTTTTTCTCTATTGATTTTCTTTTTTTTTTTTTTGTAAATTGTGTAAGAATCTTCTAATTATGATGTTAATGACAAAAGTGAACTATATTATTCTCATCTGCATGCATTTCATTTATGAGCATTTACATAAAATGAAACCTCTATGAAACAAATGAAACATGATTCCATGATTCTTTACTTCACTCTGAGTATTTTTCTTTAAAGGTGAAAGCTTTATGTAACAAATGTTGAAAATATCTATCTTAGATAGTTGAATCTTTAGGGGTGTTGTTTATTGAGATCTGTGATTTGATGATTTCATTTAACAATGTTTTCCAAAAAGAAGAAAAAAAGGAAAAATGATCAGAGCTGATGTACTTCAAAGACATTTTGTCATCAGCCCAAAAGATTTGCAAGTCTGATAACCCCAAAGCTTCTAGATAAAATGCCAACATAAATAGGTAAATAAATACAGCACAGGTGTTTGAAATCAAAGAAAGTCTCTCCTTGCTTTTCTCAGTTCCCCGTTTTGCTAGATAGTGTGAAACAGCATCTCTCTGCTGCAAGCTGACATCAGTTAGGAGACGTTAGCAGGTGCTGCAAATCAGAAGGAGGACTTATTTGGTCTGGCTCTATGCACGTTGCACTGACAGGGGTAAGTAGAGAAGTTACAGGTAAAGCCTTTGCTCTTTCTTCCTCTAAATGGCTTTGTTTCTTAGTAGTCTGTGAAGCCGAAGTTAAAAAATTCAGTTGATTGATGCAGAGTAATAATTTTGTCTGAAATATCACAAAGTTTTTGTTACCTGATCTTTCTTTGAAGCTCTCAATATTTGAAGCTAGAGTGTTTTGTAAACTTGTTTATCAGCTTAACTTTATCATAAGGAAGCAGCCTCTCCAGACCTCATTCTCTCTGGTCCTTTTCTGTTCATACAACTCAAGTGAATTTACATTGGCAAAAGTTTCTGTTTGAATTGCCTCTGTGTAAGGAGAATCCTGATAGCTCATGGCAGGCAGTGAAAGATCCATTTCCTTGTGTAGTGGCCCCACTTCAGGATGTTAACTTTTCCTTAGCTGGAGCACAGCCTCTCACAGGAGAAACAAGAAGTAAATTGAATGGAAAGTGGAGTACGAGAGGGCTTTTTTCCATAGAGAGTAAGAAAGGAGATAGGGAGGTATATTACAAGTTAAAATAAAAATAATGGCATCGGCAGCTACAAAAGAGAAACAACCGGTAAAAGCGAGGTTTTATCAAAATAAGAAAACCTTGGTGATGTGAAATATCTTGGATTTGCATTTATCTTCTGAAGCAGCATGCTAGATGAAATTGTTTGCTTTGTGAATTTTATTATGATATCAGAAGGAAAGAAATATTGGCAGTGTATTGAAAAAGCATGTGATTCATTCCAGTGTAAGAAATGACAGCAGATGCTTCTGTCTTAGATCCATAGTGAAACAAGAACTTTTAATCCTCCTAGAAATTGTAGGTAAAATTTCATTTTCAGCTTGAACTGGTGCAGGAATTGGAAGCTGCAATAGGATTCTTGTTTGTACTTCTCTGCGTACCTGTGCTTTGCTCAGACATGGTTGAAAATAGTTTGTTTACTTTTTTCATTGTTTATATTATGATAACATTGGCAGTGAGCAGGTGAGTGCTGGAACGACAAGGGTGTAGCTCTTTATTACCGTAAGTCGTCTTTAGGCTCATAAATAAGCCTTTGGAATTGAATGAGATTACTCAACTGTGCAAGAGTGTACAGGATGTGCCCATAAATTGAATTAAAACAAGCTACCAATGTAGTTAGAAACAAAGATCTGTTGCATGAAGTAAGAGCCCTTCTTGATGTTATAAAATAATACTAGAACAGCTGTAGAGAGTTTCATATTGGTGTTAGTGCTTTAAGTTCAACTTCATATTTCTAAGTTTGGTGAATTTTGCATATGCAGTTTGTGTGAGCAGGGCTCTACAAACATCTGTCAAACAGAGGAGTGTTTTTAGCTTACTTAATGTGAGAATGTATCTGAATGAAATGGACAGAAAGTGAGTTGGCTGAATCCTTGAGGATCTTTCTCACACTGCATGAAATACCACCTCATGGTATTGAGAGAAGCTTGCAGAAATGCATCTTAGCTATGTAAGTTGAACTTCTAGATTGTAAAACATGCATCTCCCTCCAGAAAGAAGGCATCCCTTACCAGCTGGATACTTAAAATATAACTACTAAAGTACTTTCATTGTTAGTAATTTTGTTTTCATGTTTGTTGGATCACGTGGGGCATCTTTGTATGCAAAAATAAATAAATAAATAAATAAAAATCAATAAAAATAGGACAGTTAATCTCCTTTAATTAGAAACACTCTTTTCATATTTGTAGACATACCTGTTAATTTGCCAGCACAGCAGTTTTGCCTGGCACACAAACTGTACATTAAAAGGACTGCTCCCGCAACTCTATGTGAACGTTCTACTGGAAGGCCCCCAGGCAACAGTGCTGGCAGTGCATGCTTGTTCTCTGCTACATTGTCATCATACAGATTGTTTCAAGAGCCCTATAACCAGATGAATGCCTACTCAGTCAGCAGGTGTAGATTTGAAGGAGTAGGATGAGCCCTGTACAAAGTGCTGCATCTCTGAAAATTAGTGTAGCTATACACATGTGTGCATGCTTTTTTTTTTTCCAGCCTAAAAAAGTTGTGAAGTTCTTACTTTAAAAAAACCAAAACAAAACAAAAACAACAAACAAGCAAACAAAAAAACACTTTGACTTCAAAGGATCTTCATTTGATACTGGTACCACTGAAAGTTTTAGTCTCTGTTGTAATAGGAAAACAGGGTGTGGCAATAGAAAAGCTAAATCAACTAAACATTCTTCCAGCATAAGGAGTCAGAATATAGATTTATTCACAATTTTACTGTAAATTCAGTTGTTTTGGGTTTTGTGCAGGTTGGAATGCTCTTGGCATTAGTTCAGTTTCTTTTCAAACGGATGTTTTTTGAACGGGCAATAAAAAGTGAGTACACATGACAGGGCGTGCACTCAGCTGCCCCATCCACGTGTCTTGGTCACAGGGCATGAGGCCATAGGAGCATAACGTATCTTGCAGCGTTTCAATAGTAATATAACATGTATTTTATGGCTGAAATAAAAAGCAAAGAATTTCCTTCTGAAGTTTTATGTAGTGCATGTGTAACAGAATAGAGGGGAAAAAGAGTTAAAGAGTTTCTGATAAGTTAATTTTTTTTTTCTTAGGTACATTGGTAAAAGCATGAATTAAAAATCAAGAAGCCCTGAATGGCACACAGGTGGATATAATTTCTTCAAAGATGTCTTTGCACATTTCTTGCTAGTGGGAAGTCTTTAACAGCTGGTTCCTTAGAAATCCTCTTACAAAGATCTCTTGACAGAGTTCTGAGAAATTTAATACTCTAACAACTTAATTTTCTTTGCTTTTAATGAAAAGATTAGAAATGTTTAGCTGCTGGATTTAACTGGCAAGCTAAGAAATTGCATTTCCTTAACAGAAGATTTCCCTACAAAAATGTTTTGTTTTTTGAAAATGTAGGTAAGATATGACTGTTTTGATTTATTACATAGTCATGATACTAACATTACTCCTTTCTATTTCCCCTGAGTATGTCTCTCTCATTTTCTCTTAGGGCTAGTCAAACTCCAGATGCTAATGTTGTGTATTCTGAAGTCTCTCTAGAAGTGTCTGGTCTTATCCCTTTATTTAATTCAGTTATTTCATAGTAACCTCATGCCAGCCATGTCTTCTTGCTGCATCTTAGGTTTTCATGTTTCCCTATATCTTTCTTGGGGGGGGGGGGGGGG